ACCGCGCCCGGCCTCCTTTTTAATTTTTAATTTCTTGTGGGACATATCCTGGTTGAATACGTATTTCCTATGGATAAGAAGTCAGGTGGGAGTAGTTTGTTTTATCCTTCTTTGTATTAACAAGTATAGGTAGTGATTTTTAATTACAACATATTGGTTGACTGAAAATGCTTGTTGTGACTCAGTTCTTTTTTTTCTCCTAGTACTGTGAATATATGCCTGATGTTGCTAAATGTAGACAATGGTTAGAGAAGAATTTTCCAAATGAATTTGCAAAACTTACTGTAGGTATGAACATTTTTTTTCTTGCGTTAAACTTCTGTACCTGAGACAAATGCATGTATAGCATTATTCTGAAGATACAAAAGTCCCCCTTTAGTAGGATATTACAGAATTAACATTTATTTCTGTTAGCTGTTTAAGTTCTCTCTGAGATAGAATAGGTCTGAATATCAACTTTCTTATGTAAAAAAGAAAATGATTTAGGGGCAAATATATGACTTTTATTGTAAGCATACTATATGCTAACACACAGTTTCGGGTTCTGAGGATAAGCCAGTAAATAAAAGATTTCCTACCCTTGTGGCAATTACATTCTAGAAAGGGAGACAAATGCAATAAGTAAAATGTATAGTATGGAGATAGTAATAAGCAGGAAAGGGGGAGATAAGAATTGGTGGGAAGGAATTTGAAATTTTAGGTAGTACCCAGAGATTTTGCTGAAAAGGTGGCAGTTGATTAAAGACCATTGGAACTGAAGGAATGAGTCATTTGGGTATCTGGCAGAAGAACATTTCTAGGCAGCGGACACAGCCTGAGGAGAGGCCCTGAGCAGAAGCTCTCCTAGTATATTCAGGAAACCGCAAGGAAGTCTTTGTATCTGGAGCTAATTGAAGGACTGGAGAATAGTTTAATATGAATTCAGAATGGACCACATCGGGCAGGGCATTGTGAACCAAGTCTTGGCTTTTGCTCTTAGATGAAGAGCTCATGGAGGAGTTCAAGCAGAAGAGTGATAAGGTCTGACTTGTTTCAGCAGCATTACTTAGGCTGCTCTGGTAGGAACAGACCAAAGAGGTCGGGAGTGGTGGCTCACACCTGTAATCCCAGCACTTTCGGAGGCCAAGGCAGGTGAATCGCCAGAGTTCAGGAGTTTGAGACCAGTCTGGGCAACATGATAAAACCCTGTCTCTACAAAAAAATGCAAAAATTATCTACCATCATGCCTGTAGCCTAAGCTACTTGGGAGGCTGAGGCAGGAGGATTGCTTGATCCTGGCAGATTGAGGCACTCCATCTTGTGCAACAGAGTGAGACTCTGTCTTAAAAAAAAAAAAAAAAAAAAAAGTCAAAAGAGGGCACAGGCAGAAAAGCAACGGCAGACCAGATAGGAGACTCTTGTGATGACTTAGATCAGAATGGTAGTGGGGAGGTGGTGAAAAGTGGTCAGATAGGAGTATATTTTGAAGGTAGAGCTGACAGGATTTTTTTATTTTTGGGTGTGGGGTGTGAATAAAAGGGGCATCTGGATTTTGGTTTAAGCAACTAGAAGAATGGAATTGCCATTCCCAGAAATGGGAAGACTATGGAGGAACAGAATTCCTCAATTTGCTCATATTGATGGCTTCTCTTGCAAGATTGGTAAAAATGAAGGCAGTAGCCAGAAGAAGAGAAAGCCTCGTCTGGGAACAAGCCTGCTCAGAGACACCTAGTGCTACCCCCACTCATTGCTCCTTGATTTTCAGGTGATTTCTGTGACACACAGAACCCTAAGTTGATTAAGTCCCTTTTGGTTGGTAGCTACTCCATCACTGTCAGTGGTTGGATAAGAACCCTCAAGTTTGTTGTTATATTCAGTCTACATGGTTGGCCCTGAATGGGACCTTCCTGGGATAGCATCTGACTGAGGGGGTGGAGAGCTCTTCTCATCCAGATGTTAACAAAATTAGTATGTTTAGGTGCTAGAACACTCCTGCAGAGCCGAAGTGTTTTATGTTCCTTTCCTCTGACTCAGAATCTCAGCCCTCACATATTGAAGACTGTTTTCTCTTCTGTTACTGTATACTTACCATAATGACTTTAAAACTAGACTTGAATAGGAATCCAGCAGTTTAATCAGTTGCTTTACAAATGTCATGCTCAGCTGTTGGTAAGATGCCCTATTTGTATATGAGGTTGCTCAAAGGTGATTCCTTTTTTTAACAATATGAAATAATGTTCATGCTTTTGTATTTCATTTTTATATCTAGAAAATTCACCCAAACAAGAAACTGGAATTAGTGAGGGTCAAGGAACAGCAGGGGAAGAAGAAGAGAAGAAAAAACAGAAGAGAGGTAAGCCCTAAATTCATATCTTGATTTGTACAATCATACCTTCCCTGTGATAGAAGATATAAGTAATTAAAAGGGTTCCCAAAGCTAGGCATGATGGTGGATGCCTGTAGTCCCAGCTTCTTGGGGGGCTGAGGCAGGAGGATCGCTTAAGCCCAGGAGTTCAAGGCTGTAGTGTGCAACGATTGTTCTTGCAAATAGCCACTGCACTCTATTCTGGGCAACATAGTAAGACTTCATCTCTTACAAAAAGGGGAAGGTTTCCAAAGTGAATACCATGTACCTGTTATTGTAATTCCCCATGTATATCATACAGAGGGGCACATACTCATAGTCTCAGGATCATGGTTGGATGTGGTATGATTTGGGCTTTGTTAGTAAATTGGACCTAGGAAAACATGCTTATTTGCCCCGTTTGTATATAAGAAACAGCCAGCCAGCTAAAATTCCTGTGTATTCTATTTAAGTAGAATGAGGACATTTATATAAAAGATTTTATCTTCTGATAGCTCAGTTGAAAACTTAGTTTTACAATTATTGCATACACTTAACTCCTTCTTCTCAAACCAACTCCTGGTGCTGTGGATCCTGTACCCACCTGTTTCTTCATTATTCTCCCCTTTGACTAAAATTCACTTAAAAATATTTTCAGGACTTTGCATCTTAAAAAAACAAAAACAAACAAGAAAACTGTCTCCAAAGCTCATGTCTTTCTTTACCTTATCCCTCTCCTTCCCTTAGCCAGCTTTCTTTACTAAGGCCAGACTCACTATCATCCCTTCTGTTCTGTGGCTCACTGTTCACTCTTCAATCCATCTTAACCTGACTTCCTGGCTACTGCAGTTCTGATAAGCGTCAGCAGTGGCTTGGTTATTGCTAAATAATAAACGCATATGCACTCCCTCTTTCCTGAAACATTATCCCTCCTTGGTTTCTGTTCCTTCCTAGCTCTCCTATCACTCCTCCTTAGTCTTCTGTGCAGACTTTTATTCCTCTGTCCTTTAAAAGTTAGGTGTTTTTCAGGATTCTGTCCCAGGCCCTCTTACCTCTTCATTCTGCATGTTCTTGTTGGATGATTCTCTCACATCCTTAACTTCTGCTGCCCACTATACACTTAAAGTTCCCAAATATGTACCTCTGGATTTGGCCTGTGTATCTAGCCTAGAAGTGTGCTTGGTCCCAGAAGCATCTCAAACACTGTACTTTGGAAATTAAGCTTACTGAGTCTCAAGTCCCAAATTGACTTGTTTTCTTTTTCTCCATTCTGGTTAGTGACAACACAATTTATTCAGTCATCTAAGCTAGAACCCTGAGAACCATCTTACATTCTCTATTTCCCTTTAGTCAGTTCTAGATTCTGTTCTTTCTCCTCCTCGCCTCTCCTGCCTGTGCCTAGTGGCCATTACTGTTGGCACTGCTTTGGTTTAGATTTTAATTTCTGCCTCTGTATAGCTCATGCAGGGGCTCTGTAGTGGCCTTTCTATCAGTCTTACTCTTCACAGATATCCAGTGACTGCTATGTAATGTTTTGGCTTCATCTGCTACATATTCATAAGCATCCTTCAATCAAGACAAGTGAAGTTCCCAAATACAACGCCTTTTCTTATCTCCGTACTTGTTTCCTTTCCCTGGAATGTTCTTTCTTATGCCTCTCCAGCTTCTTTCCCTTTACGTGGACCTTTCCTTATTCTTCAAAACTCCACCTAGATGTTACCTCCTCTAGGAAACTTTCTGTGTCCTCTGGAAGAAGAGTAAGTTGTTCCTCTACAAAGCTGTCATAAAGCCTTATTCTTGGATCCTATTATTGTATATATCAGGTTGCTGTAATTTTTTTTTTTTTTTTTAAACTCCCTTCACTAGACTGTGAATCTCTGGAGGGCAGGGGCTTTGTTTTGTTCATCTTTGTGTCCTCAGCCCTTAGCCCAGTACTGGGCACATAGTAGGTACTTAATAAATGTTTATTGAATGAATACTTGCATGTATTTATTAATTTTGTATTAGAGAAAAACTTAAACCTTTTGAAAATTAATAAATTTAAAGACAGTATGCTGTTATTATGTAAAAAACAAAACAACTAATGCTAAGCTCTTTCCTAATAAAGGTGGAAGGGGTCAAATAAAACAAAAAAAGAAGACTGTACCACAAAAGGTTACTATAGCCAAAATTCCCAGAGCAAAAAAGAAATATGTGACAAGAGTGTGTGGCCTTGCAACTTTTGGTGAGTTCAGGCTTAAGTATGTTTAAAATGTGTGAGCTATTTTTTTCTCTTTCTTTCTCTCTCTCTCTCTCTCTCTCACACACACACACACACATGAAAACTTCACAGGTCTATTTTTTGCTAGGAAGATAAATTTTGCATTTCTAACTATAGCTTCAAAATCAAATTGTGGAGAAATGTCAAAATCTCTTATAGAGGGACTTTTTACTTTCTGGAATTCCTGCTTGGGCATATTTGATGCAGGATGAGGAGGGCTGGGTAGGATTCCCTTTGAAGCCAGACAGTGCTGCTCCTCTGTCGTCTGCAGGTGTGGTGGCAGAAGGTTGCAAAATGCCTCATCCCCTCTGGGAATGACAGCAGAAGGTGAGGAAGGTGGCTGAATGTACCTGCCTTAGAGCCCCTCAGTTCTTGGAAGCCTTGAATGAGTAGTGAAACTGGGTGGAAATCTAAACCATGATCCCTTTGTAAGACAACACAGGTTGAAAAACAATCAATAGGCTGGTCCGAGTACAGTGGTGTTTACAACTAATTGATCACAACCAGTTATAGATTTGTTTGTTTGTTCCATCTCCCTTCCCACTGTTTCACTTGACTAACCTTAAAAAAAAAAAAGAAAAGAAAAAGAAAGGTCCAGTGTAGTGGTTCACACCTGTAAACCCAGCACTTTGGAAGGCCGAGTTGGCAGGATCACGGAGGTTAGGAGATCAAGACCATCCTGGCTAACATGCTGAAACCCTTTTGCTCCTAAAAATAGAAAAAATTAACTGGGTGTGGTGCTATGTGCCTGAAGTCCCAGCTACTCAGGAGACTGAGGTAGAAGAATCACTTGAATATTGGAGGTAGAGGTGCAGTGAGCCAAGATTGCACCACTGCACTCTAGCCTGGCAACAGAGCAAGACCCCGTCTCAAAAAAA